TTTGACAAAACATCCATAAATAATGAAACTCTTATTAAACTAGACATAGAAAAGAACCACATCATCTGACAATGGGCATCTATAAGAAACCCCAAGCTGAATATCATAACTAATGATTAACAATGTTTTCTTCAAGACCAGAACAAGGGCAATGATGTCAATTCTCACTACTTCTATTCAACATTATACTGAGGGCCCCTGGCCAGGGCAGTAAGGCAAGGGAAAAAAGTAAAATGCATAAAGATTGAAAGGAAAAAATAAAACTATTTACAATTGCTTTCAGTGTCTCAGTAACTTTTCATGGTGATCTCTAGGCCAAAACAAATAGCTAACAATTCAATTAATTAAAAGATTAAGCCCAAACTATTAAGTTTTTACATCCTAACAACTGAATAGCTGTTTGAAAAATTAACACACATAAATGGAAAGAAAAATATTTTTCACTCTTTAATGACAATATACATGTGTCTGTTCCATATTGTGTAAGTTCTCCATCAGAGAATCAGACTGAACACTAACCATTGCCCTATCTGATGTTCTACACTGATTTTTTTAAATCTTTTTTTTTGTATCATTAATATACAATCACATGAGCAACAATCAAATCCCCACCACAAACCCCATTATAGTCACTGTCCATCAGTGTAGTAAGATGCTATAGAGTCACTACTTCTCTGTGCTATAGTGCCTTTCCCGTGCCCCCCCCCCACATTGTGTGTGCTAATTCTACACTGACTTTTGTGTAGAATTTGCTTCAAAGATATATTATGCAAAGTGTTACAGTGAGATCTAATACTGAAACTGTTAACTCCATTGAGCCATTAGTGTGGTGTCCAACAGATGTCTAAAATTTTAAGTATCCCACAGCATAGCGTTGAAGTATGTAGTTTGGGAACCATGGAGATAAAGATTTCTTAGAATAAATAAAGATTTGTTCTATACAGAAGAAAGAACACTGAGTAAGTTGCTCTTGCTAAAATTAAAGCTTCTCATAAAAAAAAAGTTAAAAGCAAAGCTACAAACTATGACAAAACAGTTGACCCTTGAACAATAAGGGGGTTAGGTGCCAACTTCCAGTGCAACCAAAAATATTAAAAGCCACCTATAACTTCTGACTCTCCAAAAAGTTAACTACTAATAGCTACTGTTGAACAGAGGCTTTGATAGTAACATAAATAGTTAATTAACATATTTTATATACACAGGTATCATATATTGTATACAAAGTTCTTAAAATAAGCAAGCTAGAGAAAAGAATGTTTTTTCAAGGAGTTCCAAATCTCCAAAAATTTTTCCAATATATTTATTGAAAAAAATCCATGTGTAAATGGACCTGTGCAATTCAAACCTGTGTTGTTCAAGCATTGAAAAGAATTTGTACCTAGATTATATGAAGAATGCCTAAAAATCAATGGTAAAAACCCAAATGAAGGCTTGGTAAAAGGCTCGACTAAAGACCTCATAAAAAAAGGATAAATGGCAAAAAAAGACATGGGAAGGTGCTCAACTACAATTTGTCACTAGGGAAATGCAAGTTAAAATCACATGAGGTTTGCAGTGCCTGCCTGTCTCATACTGCTGGCGAGAATGTAAAATGGTACAGCCACTTTGGAAAACTGGCAGTTTCATATGAAGTTAAACATATACCTACACTATGAGCCAGAAATTCCACTCCTACATATACTTAACCAAGAGAAATGAAGACATGCATTCACAAAAAAGATTTATCTAAAAAAATTTTATAGTAGCTTTATTCATAACAGCCAAAAACTGGAATTAAAATGTGTTATGTTCATATAATGGGACACTTCAGCAATTAAAAAAATGAACTACTAATCACTGAACATCAAAGACTCTCAAAATCATGATATTGGAAAAAAGAAATCAAACACATTGTGTAATTCCTTTTAAATGAAGTTAAAGAATAGTCAAAACTAAGCTATGGACAGAAATAATAAGGTTCACAGAACATACATGTTTGTCAAAACTCATTGGATTGTACACTAAGATCCATACTTTTCATTGTATATAAATTTTATATAAATTTAGCAGAAAGTTTAAAGAGGAAATTCATTAGAGATACTACCTATTTACATTAATAGAATTTTTTTTTAAACCACAAAAAGGTTCAGGCTACTCACTGGCTGTAAAAGAGATGTTCAGAAGCTTAATCTCCCACCTGAGGGCAACAAGTGGGTACACAGTAAACATGAGAAAAGAAAACAACGTATGTTCTGATGTATAGAAAAAAGAAAAATGGACAGATGAAGATTATCAATCACAACAAGGGTCTTTCTATATCGGAAAAGGTTCCTAGGAAGATTTTCAGAAAGAGAGATATAACCTTTATTGTATCATGGCCAACCAGGATATTGAAAGCCAGTAAGCAGAAAAAGGTCAAACAAGATAACTGATGAGGAAAGTTTAAGCAGAAAAAGAAATGGCCAAAGATATTTAGAAAATTAAATTCTGTAAGGCTGTCATATATGTCAAAGAACTTACAAATAATATACCCATACTATTGGCTAATATTTATCAAAACGAATCTTACGCCAGATATTATGCTTCATTTAATCCTTTCAGCAACTGAGGTAGGTACAATTATCCTAACTCACAGATGAGAACTAAAGTAAGTAATTTCCCCCAAATCATACAGCTGATAGGTTGTGGGGCCAGAGGACCAGTTTTGACTCCTGAACCCATGTTCTTTCCTGATATTCTATACTACTTCCGAAGAAAAGCAGAGGTTACCTTTTAAACTTTAGACCTCAGCTATATCACACTGCATCAGTGTATGTGTATGTACTAGAGGGAGGGCACGAAAGGCCATTTCCCTCTACTTCTTCCTACCTTCTGTTCCAGACTCTGAAAATGCTTGTTGCTCTCTTCCCCATCATCCCTTGCAACTAAGGGTGGCAATACAACTCAAACCTGGAGTAAGATACAAGAAAACGTGTGCTGAGAGACTTCTGCTTGAGATGTTCTTTCCCCATAAAGAGACAAACAAAAGCCTGCCCTTCTCTCCCTACTTTTGGATATCATCATTTGAGAATGTGATGCTTCAAGATTTTTCTGCCATTTTGTGACCTCTGACACACTGAGGCATTGAAAAATTACCAGGAGAGATTGTGTCCTTGATGTGCCTTCATTGTGCCACAGAGCCAATCCTCTATCTCAATCTCCAGACTGCCTGAATGAGATACAATAAAACCCTACTGGTTAGTCTACTTTTAGTGAGTTTTCTGTTACTTGAGAAAAAAAGCACTCTAATTGAGCCTGAGAACAAACAAGATTTTATTCAAGGTGAATAAAATTTATGACACAAAGTTGAGAAAAACACTCACCTTGTTTATTCAATTTTGTCCCAACTTCCGGCAGACTACAGTAAACAACGTCTCCCAAAGCTTCCTAAAAACAAAACAAAACAAAAAACACTAAAACAGCAAATTAAACTTCCTAGTGACTAAGAACTAGCCACACTGAATCCCCTTCCTATAATTTGTAATACACATTTTATATTTTAGGGGCTACATTCTGCTTTTTCTTATCACCCTTTAAAAACACAAAACTATCTGTAGCTCAGGAGCTGCAAGGAAACAGGCCACAAGCTGGATTTGGCCCACAGGTAGTAGTGACCCCCGTCACAAATCCTAAGCCCCCCAAAAAGATTACTGGCTCTGGGAACAGACAGACTGTGCTTTTCCACCTGTGCAGTTTTTATAGGCCATTTCCCCTGCTATATTTGCTGAAATCCTACCCACCGATACTACAAATAATAGTCCTCATGCCTTATACCCCTGCAGACGTGGTCTCCAGTAAGAAGTGAGCTCTCATCAGGTGAGCTCACTTACAACCTCCTGTACCGTCTGGTTCATTCATCATGTAATGTTCTGCATGCTGTTTTCCTAGTAGGTGATTCCCCTCAGAGATAAACTCCAGTGAGAACAGCTCTTCCACAGTATTTCACAAAGGACCCTGTCCCAGGCTGTACAGGTACAGATATGCCAGTGAAGATAGATACAACTGCCATGATCCTCCGTGCCCAAGATTCCAACATTTCTGAAAATCATATACTCCAGTGGTTAATATCCCTTTACCATCCTGCCCCACCCCCAAAGGTGTGGCTGACAGTTGTGCTATTTGCTGCTTATTTTCTTTCACACAGTATCTCTAAAGGAAATCAGTGGGAAGGGGGAAATTAACAGAAAAAGATTGGCTAAAGGGAAGTTTTGCCTTTCTGTAATCTATGCCAATCTAGGTTTTCCCTCTTCTCCATGTCCCCCGCTATGTGCACATCGCTATATACACAAAACACTTGTCAACATACCAGCATTTTGGCTGGCTTTTCTCCCTTAACTGTCCTAATATGAAACACACACATTTCTTTCTTAAATAAGGTAGGTTTCCTATTTCTAAGTGTTATTGTTTCAGTACCTCTTAAAAACACTACTACCCTAACTCAATTATGTTTTACTTGTTTCACCTATGATTGATTTATAAAGACACCCAAATAAACAATTTTTAAAAAGAGACAATCCACAATTTAGGCAAGAGTAGTCTTTTAAGTATTTCAAGACAATCCAATACCTGTGCAAAATTGCTGATTCCCACTGTTCCGATACCATTTTGTGTTGTTATCCATTCATGTTTGTCTGTGAATTTACGCACTAAAACAAAGACCAATATTTCAGAAGAACAGTGGCATCACTTCCTAAAAAGCACTTTTCATTCAATGCTGTCAGAAGGCAAGACTTTCTCAGCATTTGTTTGACTTACTGACATTGCCTTTCAATAGTATCCTGCCCAGGAAAAAACAGGTCAAGGGAAAAGAAGGAATGAGTATCTTCTCAATAGTAGCATCATCTAGGCAAAGGTGAGTTGATGTGGACACCTCGTGCATCTTTTGGAGATTTGATTATTTGCTCTGACAGACTAAATCACAAAATATTTTGGAATACATTTCAAAATGTATGTTCATCTGTTACTGGTCTGTCATTCAGAAAGAAGTCTGTCCCTGTGACTGCATTGGGGTATGAGTGGGGACTTGATAATATGGGTAAATATAGTAACCACATTGTTTTTTCATGTGAAACCTTCATAAGAGTGTGTATCAATCATACCTTAATAAAAAGTAAAAAAAGAAGTCTGTCCCTCTAAAGACAAACTTTAGGTGATAAGGAACTCAGAGTCAGCATAAAGTCTGCTCATAAATGATACAAACTTAAAGAGAAAGTGCCTCCTTAGGTAGAGTGAAGAGAAGAAGGCTTCGCAGCAACTTGGTTATACAGGAATGAAACTGACCGAGAACAATTTTAACTAAGTTCTTAAAATTCCACTTTAATCAAATTCAAGCCTGCCCTGGAAAAAATGGCTACCATCATTTAAAGAAGCAAACTTTTAAGATCAGAACTCAACAGTCACTTCAGAGCTAAGCCATTAATTGGTAGGAAGTCAAGCTCTGCTCAACATTCATTAGACAGGTTAGTCCTTGGCTTTATGAGCTTCTCTCCAAAGATGTGGTCAAACTGTTGAAGAAGTCCTGGAAGAAAGACTGATGGAAGTTCAAGAGATGTGAAAAAAAGTTATTTAGGATTTAATGTTAAAAAGTACATGGCTTAACGAATAATTTTTTTAAAGCATATGCTATCTTCTTAAACATATATCACATTCTGAAGCCAAATACTTTCCTAAAAATAATGCATCAGAAATGCATAGGAAAATGGATCACTAATTCAAACCTTGCTTATTCAATCTTACCTTTTACCCAAGACAGTTGTACTTAAAACAGCATTAAGTTGCTTTGATTACACAGCTGATATGCAGAATGTAAATAAAGAGTACATTACTTTTTCTCCTAATCATTAAAAAACTTCAATTTTATACTTTTCAATGGAAGTTACAAAATCTGTCACAAAGGAAAATGCTTTGGTTCATTTCACTTCAAATAACTGAAAGCTTCAGATAGTATGATCTTTCAGTAAGAAATATCAAGGTTTATACCTGGTATTGTGACTGTTAGTTAACTGTCCCCAATTGCCTTTTCTTAACTACTTAAGGTCTCACCTTCAAAGCTCTTCCCTACCAGAAGCTTTCTCTAGCCCTCTTAGTCTGGTTTTTCCTGGGCCAACCAATTTGCTACATACAACACTACACCATTCTCTCCCCAACACACTCACAGTACTTAACATGGTACAGACACAGCCTGTCAGCTTCCCCCCCAGTAAGTAGACTGTAAGTACAACACAATCAAGAGTAGTTTATCTCATTTTCATTCGTATTCCTGGTTCTAAACATAGTGCTGGGCACATAGTGAGCACTCAAAAGTTGAAGGGGTGAAGTAATTCTTTGAAGTTTATTAAGTAAAGGGGATTCTGTACAAAAAATAGAGTTAATTGAGAAAGACAAGTACCAGATGATTTCACTCATATGTGGAATATAAGAACAAAGGAAAAACTGAAGGAACAGCAGCAGCAGAATCACAGAATCCAAGAAAGGACTAACAGTTACCAAAGGGAAAGGGACTGGGGAGGATGGGTGGGAAGGGAGGGAGAATGGTGGGGAGAAGAAAGGGGGCGTTACGATTAGCATGTATAATGTGGGGGGGGCACAGGGAGGGCTGTGCAACACAGAGAAGACTAGTGATTTTACAGCATCTTACTGTGCTGATGGACAGTGACTGATGGGGTATATTGGGGGGACTTGGTGAAGGGGGGAGTCTAGTAAACATAATGTTCCTCATGTAATTGTAGATTAATGATACAAAAAAAAATTCAGTGGAAAAAAAATAAGAGTTAATTGGCTACAACACTCATTTCTCCCTATCACTGTTACAACTCTAGAACTGGCTGATTGCATCATCAATTATAAGCAGTTTAAATCTAAATATACCTTTTTAAAGCAAGGGTTAGACAACTATAAATATACGACTTCTCTGAGACTATTGTCTTGGTTCTGGCCTTGCCATTTTGCCTAATTGTAAAGATAATCTTAAAAATAAGATTACTCTCACATTCAGCAACGGAGCAACCACAAGTTTAGAGAAAAAGGGAGCAACATTACTAAGTAAGCTAAATGTACCTAGGTGCACTTCAAAGTCCCTAAGTCTTTACTAGACCATACTGTTTAGACTAATGACAATGATCAGTACAATTTTCCTTTAACCCTTGGTCCAACAAAAAAAACAAAGTGGACAGGAGATTAGGTAAATAATTACTTTCTTCCTGTGACTTTGAAAATATGGTGTTTGGCCTTGAAAATCAGGCATTTTGAATACTGTCTGAGAAGTCTGTATGTTCCTCCAAAGTCACTAGTCAGATAATATATAACTATTGGTCTTTTTTTTTTTACTATTTGATTCTATGCACTAATATTTAATAACAAGTAACATTTTTCAAGTACTAACAATGTGTCAGGCTACATGTACAGCAGTTACATTATTTCATTTCATCCAACAACTCTGTAGTAGGTATTATCATTTCCATTTTTCTGATGAGGGAAACAGACTCAGAGAAGTTAATGGGACCTCTTCTCTCACTACCCATGATTCTGCCCAAGATCACATAGCTAATAAGAGGTAGGGCCAAATTTGGAAGTTGGATCTGTTATTAAAAACCTTGGTGTTCAACCAGATAACGGGTATTAATATTTGGGGCAATATTTACCTAGATAACTGAAAAATGCAAAAAATTACCAACAGTGCCACAATGAATAACCAAGAAACAGACCTGAAATACAATTCTTATCTGACAAATGCTTTCTTTTTCTATTCAAATCGGTAATGTATTGATATGTCATTAACACAACTGAGGGATATTATTAGCGAGGGGAGAGAGGCTACTTTTATGTTTCAGATTTTGGAATAAACAACTTTATCAACTCTCCAGTCCCAAGCCAAAATAGTTAAGTTAGTGAGACAATAGCCATCACAGACCTATGCAGCCTATGTAAGAAGCCTGAGTTCTTGCAGATGCAGTTAGTGTCCCAAGCATTTGCACACGAAGAAAACTTTCCTCTGCTGCGAAAAGTTGTGCCAAAATCGAGTAAGACGGCCAAGGCGTTTACGGGCAGGTCTCCCAGTTTCAAGTCCGTCGAAGTTAGGCCTCATTTCATCCCCGGCACATCCATGAGTCTACATAGACTTTTGCAGAACATCTCTAGAGTCCCGTAGCCTTTATCTCGCTGCTTTTAGGAAATCGGTGGGCCTTCAAAATTAAGCTCGCCTTAGCTAGTAAAAACCTAGATCCAGTGCTTTAATTTCAGAAAATGCTCTTGCTTTAATTTTATTTCAGCGTCCTCAGCGATGGTCTGTTAAACAAACTAAAGCCTATTTGTCTCCATTTGTAGGGTTCTTGATGCACACAGATGAGAGATAACCTAAGGTCAGTAAGAACCTTAGGCAAGCTTGCAGGGTTCCCCAGCTGCGGGCGGCCGACGCTCCCGTGGGAACGGGCCGGGACACGGCAGCTGTGCGTGTGCCCCCTCCCCCCACCTCCGCCAACCCGGACAAAGGCTGCGCGTCGTCCACGCCACTTAGGAAGGGGGGCAGCGCCACGCGACTGGGGAGCCCAGCAACGAAAAGCATGGGCAGGAGTCGCCTCGCCGGACCGGGGACGGTCTGCTGTGGGGACCTGAGGTTAGGGAGCGAGGCGCCGCAGCCCCTTCCCCAGAGGCAGCCCGTCCTGCCCCGCGTGCCCGGCCGCACTTACCAGACAGCAGAGCAGGGCCCGTGCGCAGCGTCCGGACGGCGCTTGCCCTCAGCCCCCAGGGACGCAGCGGGCAGGGCGTGACGGGCACCAAGGCGGCGCGCAGGCTGCACAGCGCAGCCTGCAAGCTCCGCACCGCTCGCACGGCCATGTTCGCGGGAGTGCGGGGCCCGCGGTGCAGGGCTCGGAGCCGCCAGGGGCTGGACGGGGTTGGGGACGGGGGGGCCGACCGGAGCGAGCCGGAGCGAGCCGGCTGGGCCGGGGCGGGGGCGAGGATTCCCCGGCTGGCGCAGCCTCGGATAGGGTGACGCTCGGGAGGGGCGTGGACATGTGGAAAGACCGCGGCCCCGGAAGGGGATGCGGTTGAGGGGCGGGGCTTTGGGGGGGGGGGGGCAAGTGAAAATGCTGTGTCAGCAGCTCCAGACTCCGCGGACGGCGGGTGGTGAGAGAAGTCCCACGAGAAGTCTCCGTGGAGCCTCCGCATTCCCGTGCTTTTGGCCCTGGGGTCCCCCAGAGGGCAAGTGCGCCTGGTCCTGTCAAAGGATGAGCCCTGCCCTTCTAGAGATGATCAGAGTAACTAGAGCAGAATTCATAGCCTGGTCCATGCAATGCCCCAGGTGAAGATGGGCCTTGGCCAAAGAGCACAGACACATAGTTACTCTTTGACTTTTTGAAATCCTGAAAACAATGCGGAAACCCAATTGATTGCTTTATGGATCCAAAGAGGCCCAGGAACCTGAGACAGGGGACAGACAGAATCATGATGTTCAGAGAGGAGCAAGGAGTTGTCCAAGGATCGGGAATGGCTTCTTGGTGAAGACTGGACTGGAGCCAGTCAGCTAATGCGGGAGCAAGCAACAGGCAGAGAGCTGGGATCCAGGGTGGGCTGTTCCTTGCTTAAGGAGCCAGCCGAATGACCAGGGCCTTTCCAGAAAAGCAGAAAACATGTACCCACTGAAGGGAACAGAAGATAATTACGTTTTGGAAAAGATCTCGCCTTCAACAGATTTCAGGAAGTGAGCTTTGTTGATGAAAAAGTTAAACTCTGAAATAAAGAGCGTTTTATTTGAACCAAACGACTTCTAACCTGGAAGCGTTGATTGCCATGGGTAAGCAGGGAAAAAATGTTCAAGAACCCAAGTCATACAAAAGGTTTACAGCTACTGGAGGAGAGAGGCAAGAAATAACTTCACAGGGGTACGGTTCCTTCACATAAGATAGGCGATATACCTGTCTACGGAAATTAGGCAGAAGGGCAAACATTCTTGCTTATCTGTTAGCCTGAATGCAGATACTAGTTATTTAGCTTTTAACTTAATTAACATGGTATTCTAGGGTGAGGAAAGTACGAGTTCACCAGTGGCTGTTTTGTGACTTTGCCCTAACCTAATTGCAGTTTCAACTTCCCCCAGAAATGTAGTCAGGAATTTCCTAGTCAGCATCAATACGGTAATCTGTCACATGTGCCCTCTCCATCTCCCAGAGGAAAACTAGGTAACCCACCTAATAAGACTCGTTTGTCCCTAAACGAAGGTGACCTCACCCAAAATAATCCTTTTTTGTTTATGACTTCCTTGTCCTGCCTTTAAAAACCTCTCCCCTTCTATAGTATTTTGGAGTATTTACTTGCTGGAGGAGATGCTGCCTGGCTCATGAACCACTTAGTAAGTCCAATTAGGTTTTCAAATTTACTTAGTAGAATTTTATTTTTCAACATTTATTCTAAACTCCAGATCTTAGTTATTTTCTGTAATGTCGATACTCCGTTTTTATTGTTGTTTTGTTAAAAGCCTGTAGCATGATGTAAACCATGCCCTAAAATATTGATTTCTAGCTCAACTCATGTGGTGGGAAGAACAAGATCACATATCAGTGTGTGGGCTGTATTATAGGCTCTTCCACCAAAACAACAGGAAATGCGTCATTTTTAAAAAACTCTAACAAACATTGAAGATAATAAAAACTTCTTTTTTTCCCCCAACTGGTAATCTTTGAAACTTCTATGGTTAAAGATTTGAAAGGTCATTCCATTGCACATTTGGTACAGATACCTGAAAATTGCAGGTGGTCATTTCTTTTGAGCATCTCAGAAGGAGCCCATTCATCTCTTTGAGCTTTTTTGTTTTCTCTCTCTCATAACAATTTGATTGAAAAAGTTGCCAGTTTGATATTTCTAGTGTTGAAAAGAAAAGCCACAGGCCCAAAAGCAAGGGCTGGGCCGGGACACTAAACCCGAGCTTAATGCCTAGCCTGACTTGCAGTTTCATCTTACCCCAGAAATGTAGCCTTAGTCCATCAGGAATTTTCTGGCCAGCACCAATGAGGTAATATGTCACATGAGCCCTCTCCAGTATCCCCCAAAAAAAAGATGATATAATATGCAGGCTAAAACCCCCTGCTCTTCCTCCTTAAGGAAGGCTGACCTGGCCTGAAACAGTCTCTTCTTTTCTTTTGCTAATAACTTTTTGGCCCACCCTCTTATCTGTAAAAACCTTCCATTTTGTATAACACCCTGGAATATAGCATTTTTCTATTCGCTGCATAGGCTGCTACCAATTCATGAATGGCTTAATAAAGCCAATTAGGCTTTCAAATTTACTTGGTTGAATTTTTTTTTTTTAACTAATAGTAAGGATGTGAAGGGTAGATGGGAAAGATGAGAAAAATAAAGAATTTGCAACTTCTTCAGATCTTAAAACTTTTCCTGTTTAAAACAGACTGTGTATATATCCAGGTAGGTTTCTGTACCAGTCAATCAGGAGATATGTGCACACCTTGCTATGTTTTATTTGATAGGCATCTCTGCATATACAGTTACTGTTCATACCTGACAAAATAAGGAATGGGTGATGAGCTTCTGGGGGGATATAAGATGATGAAATCCCCCAGGTGTTTTGTACATTGCATGTTATGTGGCATTTTACAAAAGATCCAGGGTTTGGATTATCAGGTGATATCCTGATTCAATTGTCAAAGACATTTAAGCTCTCATCCAGATAAAAAGCAGTAGTTAAGCTCAGGGGTTGATTAAATCAGCTGTTCGGAGTCCTCATCAAGCACCCATATTCCTCTCATCTTTCTGCTTTGCCATCTACAGCTTGTTCCCCATGGCAAGATAGCTACCAAAGTTCCAGGAATCTTACTCAGACAAGGTGGTGTCTAGCAGCATTGGAGCCCATCTCTGTGTCTTTCATTATCAAGTTAACTCTTCCCAGAAGTGTCCTAGAGACCTCATTTTTCATTGGCCAAACTGGGTCATGTGGCCACCCTAAACCCCTCACTGTCAAGGGAAATGGATTATAATTACTAAAATAAATCAGGATTTACCTTGAGGTGGCCACAGGTAACATTCCCATGAGTCATGTGGAGGGTGGTAGATGGCTACCTACAAAATTACTTTTTCTGATAGCAAGGAGGGAAGCATGGAATGGACTCGGGGCAGGCAACCTGGAGTATCTGCCACAATGAGTGTGTGAGAAGGACAAGACCAGGTGAGCCGGAGAGGGTATAGGAGGTGCTTCCCCTGGGGAGGGGAAATGTGCACTTACCACACAGACATCTGGAAGCCTTTTGGTCTCTAGATCTGTGGTTCTCAGAATTTAGAGCATGGTTTTTAAGTCTTACTGCACATTGAAATCATTTGGGGTGCTTAAAAAACATTGGGTCCCCAGCCCAGAGTTTCTGATGTATTGGGATGAAACCCAGATTCTACAATGCAGCCAAGGCTGAGAACCACTAGTGCAGATCAACAGTTCCCAAAGTATCATCTAAGGAGCACTAGCCCCAACTGAGGTGCTACAATATCAGATGCCTCAGTCAAAAGGGTTTGGGAATCATTACACACTCTCTCTCCTGCTCATTTCATCCCAGGAGACTCACAGTGCACTTTTAGCATATTAAAAGCAGCTCTGACAACTCCCATACTACAAAATTTGTGTAACCTTTTATAATCCAGTGGTTTCCCCCTTTTATTTGGTCTAGAAACATTTCTGGGGAGATGATGCCTGTTATGGGTTGAATTGTGTCCTCTGACGAGATACATTGAAGTCCTAACATCCAATGCCTCGAACTGGGACTGAATTCGGAAATAGGGTGGTTGCAGATGTAATTACTTAAGATGAAGTCATAATGGAGTAGTGTGAGCCCTTAATCCAACATGACTAGTGTCCTTACAAGAAGACAAGAAAGGAAAAGGGAGAGGCCATGTGGGAGCAGAGGCAGAGATCAGAATGCTGCATCTGCAAGCCAAGGAACCCTAGAAGCTAGAAGAGAAGTTCTTGTCCAGAGCCTTCAAAGGGAGCAGAGCCCTGCTGACACCCTTATTTTGGACTTCTCTCCTCCAGAACTGAGATCAATTTCTATTGTTCTAAGCCACCCAGACTGTAGTACTTTGTTCCAAAGCCCTACTAGAAAACTGATATGACTCCCATTAACATCTCTTGGACATAGTGAATCATTCAAAAGCAGAATCAATCATTCCAAAGCAACCTCTGACCAACCAAGGAGATGAAGTAATTAGTATATGTAGAGGAGACTTTTTTTTTTCCTGAATTCTAGGTAACATTTGTTTTATTTCTAGGAGGAAATACATTTGATTAGTCTATCACAGTATTGACAATTGTATGTATGTATGTGTTTTTCCTTTTTTTTTTTTTTTACCTGTCAGGCTTGGTAACTTTATGGACACAGGAGAACATCAACCTGGAAAGGTTACAAAATCTATAAGTGTGGGCCCAAAGCTGACTTTCCCCCACTCTACAGATGACAGCATGGCAGAGCAGCTTAGACTGTGGGTGTAGCCGGTACAGGATGAGGGGCCTGTGCCTCTGACAGCAACTCGAGCTGCTCACTGCTGCTTCCAGACTCCTCTCTTCTATATTTAATGCCCAGGAAACTGAGTATTTTCATCAGTAGCGAATCAACAATCTCTTCTTCCTCCAACAGCTGCAGAGGGAGAAAAAACATGTGACAAATATAGAACGATCCTCTGGGGACTTTTCTTTCTAAGGGGAAGCCATGGTCTTACTTTCCAATTTGGTTCCTTTTAGTCACTTCACTGTTCAGAGTCACTTTTGTGTTGGGATTCCCTCTCTTCTGGAAATTCCAAGGGTATGTGCGCCCGCCTTTATCCCCAGGTGTCTCCACCTTCCCCTCTGATGAGAAGGTAAAATTCCCTCCACCACTCCAAAAAGGGCTGTTTGGATTTATGTACCAAGACCCTCATGTATTACTGCTGGAAATGTGAAATGGTGCAGCTGCTTTTGAAAACAGCTTGGCAGTTCCACAAAATGTAAACCAAAGTTACGGTATGTCTTGCCAATGGGTTTCAGCCCCAGGCAAGTTCGCTATGGATTCGATGTGACCAAAGAAAATGACAACAAAACGGTCTTGGGGTGAAAGGGTTATACCCAACTTTATTTCCAGGTAGCTGGTTAGTCACTAGAATCCCGTTCACTCAGAGTGAGTCTGTATGCAGCAAGCCAGTCTCTGCCTATGGGCCTCTCTGTCTGCACAGCCATCCCACACACCCGACCTCCGGGCCTCTCTGCACAGTCGTCCCGCACAGCCGTCCTCTGGGCGTCTGTCCTCGGCGCTGCCACCACTCCAGCCTCTGCGCTGCTCTCCCGCAGCCTTGCAGCCCTGCCACCGTGTTGCGCCCAGAGCACTAGGCGGAGCCATTTTTATAGAGTCAACAGCCATGTATTGCCCACAGGTGTGCAGTGAGCTAGCCAACCAGGGCCAGGTGGGAATCCTGGCCACAGGAACTCTCATTTTATCCACACCATATAACTTGTTGATAAATTTCTAGGCCCAAGATGAAATTGCTCCTGCCCGTGGTTGTGTCAGCAAACTGAAACTTAAATAACTTTTGTGTCCCTGTAAATGCTCCCCTTGACCAGAAATGCAGTTGATCCAGTCAGCTAAGCCCCAAACATCAAGCCAGCTCTGGGCTCTACACTTATGTCCTTTTCCTTCTCACTACAAACAAGGTTGACTGTGTGGTCCAGTCAATCAGGTGTCTTCCACTTTTCTCTTCCTTGTTCTTTATTCTTTAAACTATAAAAGCTTCCTGCCTTCCACCCCATTTTGAAGACTGTCCGCTTCATGAAGGGTTAAAGTTTGTATCACCTAACTTGTCATCTTTAATCATTTTTTTAACAGGTTCTCAACCTTGGCTGTATATTAAAATCACAGGGGGTATTTCAGAAATACCAATGCCTACATCATTCACCCAGGGATCCTGTTTTTATTGGGCTTAGGTGCAGCCACAGTGGTTCCAAAAGCCTCCAGGTGGTTTAATGTACAATCAGCTGAGAATCACCGGTGTGATGAACAGAGTCCCATGCTGGGGATCGGGAGACCCCGCCTGAGTCTGCCCTTTTTTCATTTGTGATATTGGGAAGTAATTTCCTCCTCCTGGGCCTCAGGAGGAGCTGCAATGGTCTCTTAAGTTCCCCTAATGTCTAATGCTATTCAGCCTCTTCCTAGTTCAAGCTCTATGACTATTGAGGAATAGGCCCAAGGGACTCACCTGATAGTATTTTTGCTCCTCATTGAAGACCACTGGGATGACAGAGATAAACAGATTCAGCACCACAGATGTCATGAAAATAATGCAGGACCCAATCAGGAAGGAGCCAAGCAATGGGCTATAATCCAAGAACTGTCGGGAAGAAAGCTGGAGTTATCCCCCGGGGTCTCGTGTCCTAGCAGCTACCTTCACTACCAGGTACTCTCAGAGGGAAAACTGGTCCTCAGAGCTGGTCAGAGCCTGGATCCAGGATGGCGCCCTGCCTGGTAGCTGAGAGTATGGGCAAGAGCTGCCAGAAGAGGGAAAGGGCAGCACCTACTCCCTGCTGCCACCATTTCTGAATGAGGCCAGGAACATTCCTTTCTGGACAGGCTCCCCACCACCACCCCCTGCTCCCAGCACAGCGCTCCCCTGAAGAGCCAGTACCTGATGTTTTTCTGCAAGTAAAGGGCCCCAGGGCCGGCTGTGGGCCCTACCTGGGGCAGTCTGCCTAGGGGAAGGGGAACCTTCTTATTTGTCCAAAGCTGCCTTGAGTTTGCCAGGCCATGAGCCTAAGGGTGGCATCTACTGAGGAGGCATTTGAAGGGGGTGCTTAAACTAATTTTCATAAAGGCTGGTGTAGGTGGCAGTGTCCCCCCACCCCACTCCATTACCACCTCATAGTTGAAGATTCCTAGCTGAAGGCTGATCGTTTCTGCTGCATCAAAGAGAGTTTTTGCTGTTGTTGTTGTTATTGTTAATCTACAATTACATGAAGAACACTATGTTTACTAGGGTCCCCCCTTCACCAAGTAGAATCATTACTTGTCTTCTCTGTGTTGTACAGCCCTCCCCATACCCCCCCCACATTATACATGCTAATCATAATACCCCCTTTCTTTTTCCCCACCCTTATCCCTCCCTTCCCTCCCATTCTCCCCAGTTCCTTTCCCTTTGGTACCTGTGAGTCCATTCTTGGGTTCTGTGAGTCTGCTGCTGTTTTGTTCCTTCAGTTTTTCTTTGTTCTTATGCTCCACATATGAGTGAAATCATTTGGTACTTGTCTTTCTCCGCTTGGCTTATTTCACTGAGCATAATACCCTCTAGCTCCATCCATGTTGTTGCAAATGATGGGATTTGTTTTCTTCTTATGGCTGAATAATATTCCATTGTGT